TCATCCCACAATTGCAGTATATACATTCTTTTAATCAGTGCATGGAACTTTCTCTAGGGTAGAGCACATGCTAGCCCATAAAGCAAGTCTCAGCAAATTAAAAAAAAAAATCAAAGTCATACCATGCATCTTTTCTGACAACAGAATGAGGCTGGAAATTAACAGTTCAATCATCTCGAGAACATACACATTCTCATGGAGATGGAACAACACGCTTCTGAATGAACAGTGGGTCATAGAAGAAATCAAAAGAGAAAAAAAAATTTAGAAATGAATGAAAAGGTCGGCGCTGCGGCTCAATAGGCTAATCTTCCGCATAGCAGTGCCGGCACACCAGGTTCTAGTCCCAGTCAGGGCACTGGATTCTGTCCCAGTTGCCCCTCTTCCAGGCCATCTCTCTGGTGTGGCCCGGGAGTGCAGTGGAGGATGGCCCAAGTACTTGGGCCCTGCACCCCATGGGAGACCAGGACAAGCACCTGGCTCCTGCCTTCGGATAGGTGCGGTACGCCAGCCGCAGCACGCCGGCCGCAGCGGCCATTGGAGGGTGAACCAACGGCAAAAGGAAGACCTTTCTCTCTCTCTCTCTGTCTCTCACTGTCCACTCTGCCTGTAAAAAAAAAATAAAGAAAGAAATGAATGAAAACAATACAACATATCAAAACTTATGGGATACAGTGAAAACAGTGTTAAGAGGGACTTTTATAGCAATTGGTGCCTACATCAAGAAGTTGGAAAGGCTGGTGCTGGTGCTGTGGCATAGCAGGTAAAGCTGCTACCTTCAGTGCCAGCATCCCAGATGGGCACTGCTTCAAGTCTTGGCTGCTCCACTTCCAATCCAGCTCTCTGCTGTAGCCTGGGAAAGCAGCAGAAGATGGCCCCTGCACCGGTGTGGGAGACCCAGAAGAAGCTCCAGGCTCCCGGCTTCAGATTGGCCCAGCTCTGGCTGATGCAGCCATTTGGGGAATGAGCCAGTGGATGGAAGACCTCTCTCTCTCTCTCCCTGCCTCTGCCTCTCTAAAACTGTGCATTTTAAATAAATATTCTTTTAAAAAATCTGAAAGGCACAAAATGAATGAGCTATCAGTGCATCTCAAGAATCTAGCAAAACTATGACAAATCAAACCCAAAATTAGTAGGGAGGAAAGAAATAACTGGAGAATAAACAACATTAAAACAAAACAAAACAAAAAGATCAATGAAATGAAGAGCTAGTTTTTTGAAAAAATACACAAAATTGATACAACACTGGCTGAACTAACCCAAAAGACCCAAATCAACAAAATCAGAGATGAAAAAGGAAATGTAACAACAGATATTACAGAAATAAAAAGAATCATTAGGAATTACTAAAAAGAGCTGTTTGCCAACAAATTAGAAAGCTTACAAGAAGCAGATTCCTGAACACATACAATCTACCAAAATTGAGTCATGAAGGCATAGAAAACCTAAACAGACCAATAAACAAGATGGAGATGGAAACAGTAATAAAGACCCTCCAAACAAAGAAAAGCCCAGGGCCAGATGGCTTCATTGCTGAATTCTACCAGACATTTAAAGAAGTAATTCCAATTCTTCTCAAGCTTTGCAAAACAATTGAAAGGGAGGGAATCCTTCACAACTCCTTCTATGAAGCCAGCATCACATTAATTCCTAAACCAGAAAAAGATACAACAGAGAAAGTAAACTATAAACCAATATCCCTGATGAACATAGAGGCAGAAATCTTCAACAAAATACTAGCTAATCAAATCCAACAACACATCAAAAAAATTATTCACCGAGACCAAATGAGACTTATCCCTAACAAGCAGGGATGGCTCAACATTTGCAAATCCATAAATGTGATACATCACATCAACAAACTGAAAAACAAAAACCACATGATTGTTTCAAGAGATGCAGAGAAAGCATTTGATAAAATAAAACATTGTTTCATGATGAAAACCTTAAGCAAACTGGGTATAGAAGGAGCATTCCTCAACATAATCAAGGCAGTTTATGAAAGTCGACAGCCAGCATCTTATTGAATGGAGAAAGGTTGGAAGCATTTCCACTAAGATCTGGAAACAAACAAGGATGCCCACTCTCACCATGGCTATTCACTATAGTCCTGGAAATTTTAGCCAGAATCATTAAGCAAGAAAAAGAAATCAAGGGATACAAACTGGACAGGAGGAACTCAAACTACCCCTGTTTGCAGATAACATGATTCTATATTTAGGGGATCCAAAAGACTCCACTAAGAGACAACTGGAACTCATAAAAGAGTTAAAGTAGCAGGATATAAATTAACTCAAAAATCAGTAGCCTTTGTATACACGGACAGTGTTATGACTAAGAAAAAACTTCTAAGATCAATCCATTCACAATAACTATAAAAATTAAATACCTTGGAGTACATTTAACCAAGGAGGTGAAAGATCTCTATGATGAAAATTATAAAAACTAAAGAAAGAAAAAAGAGACCCCAAAAATGGAAAAATCTTCCACTCTTGTGGATTGGAATAATTAATGTAATCAAAATGTCCATACTACCTGAAGCAATTTACAGATTCAATGCAATCCCAAGCAAAATACCAATGACAGTCTTCTCAGATCTAGAAAAAATGATGATAAAATTCATAGGGAAACACAAGATACCCCAAATAGCTAAAGCAGTCTTAACAAAAACAAAGCTGGATGTACCACAATACCAGATTTCAAGACATTCTACAGGGCAGTTATAATCAAAACAGCTTGATGCTGGCAAAATAATAATAATAATAATAATAATAATAATGGAGGAGGAGGGGAAGGGGGAGGGGGAGGGGGAGACGACGACGACGACGACGACGACGACAGGTAGACCAATGGAACCAAATAGAAACTCCAATTTATCTTTGAAAAAGGAGCTAAAATCAATCCCTGGAGCACAGACTATCTCTTCAACAACAAACAGTGCTGGGAAAACTGGATCTCCACATGCAGGTATGAAACAACACAAAAATACACTCAAAATGGATCAAGGACCTAAATCTATGATCCAATACCACCAAATTACTAGAGAACATTGGGGAAACTCTGCAATACATTGCCATAGGCAACGACTTCTTGGAAAAGACTCCAGAAGCACAGGCAGTCAAAGCTAAACTTGACAAATGGGATTACATCAAGCTGAGAAGCTTATGCACTGCAAAAGAAACACTCAACAAAAAGGCAACTGGCAGAATGGGAGAAAATAGTTTCAAACTATGAAACTGATAAAGGATTAAAATGTAGAATCCCAATAACAACAAAACAATCTAGTTGCCATGGTCAAAGGACTTGAACAGGTATTTTTCAAAAGAGTAAATCCAAATGGCCAACAGACACATGAAAAAATGCTCAAGATCACTATCCATCAGGGAAACGCAAATCAAAAGCACAATGAAGTTTCACCTCATCCCAGTTAGAACAAACAATAAATGCTGGTGAATATGTGACGTAAATGGTACCCTAAATCCACTTTTGGTGGGAATGTAACCTGGTGCATCCATTGTGGAAGACAGTATGGCAATACTTCAGAAATCTGAATATAGATCTACCTATGATGAAGCCATCCCACTCCTCAAATTTACCCAAAGGAAATGAAATCAGCATATGAAAGAACATTTGTACCCCCATGTTTACTGCTGCTCAATCAACTCAGATGTCCATCAACTGATGACTGGATAAATTATGGTATATATTCACTATGGAATTCTACTCAGCAGTAAACAAAAAAATTGAAATCCTGTCTTAAAAGGGATGCAACTGGAAAACATTATACTTAGTGAAATAAACCAGCCCAAAAAAGACAAATACCATATGTTTTTCCCTGATCTGTGGTAACTAATCAAGTACCTGAAAGGTAATGTATAGGAGTGAAAGACACTTTGAGATTCGATGATTTTTTTAAAGCCACTGTCTCAACTGTTAAGGAATAGTGTTTTTTTCTTCATATTATTTGTTGAACTCTTTAATCTTAGGACTACAAAGATAACAGATATATCTTTCTAAAAATTAAAGAGTGGGAATAGGAGAGGCTGAGGAAGGTGAGAGGGCAGGAGGGTAGGTTGGGAAGTATCCCTATGTTCCTGAATCTTTATATAAGAAATACATAAAATTTGTATACCTTCAATAAAATTTAAGAAAACTATGAAAGAACTGAGGAGATTTTTCAATAAAATCATTGTAAAATGACTGTTTTCTGTTCTTACTGAGTTTCAGCTTATTTTTTGTTTTCTTTCATCAATCAGTAATCAGCCCACCCTTATCTGCAGTTTTGCCTTCTATGGTTTAATTACTTTCTCTAAATATATGAAAGTTAAAATTATAAAAAATTCATAAATTTTATGATAATTGCTCTGTTATTAATCTCTTTTTAAAATTTTATCATAGCTATATATCTTTGTTAATCTATCCATGTAGTGTTTGGCATTTCTGTGGTTTCAGACATGCACTGGGGGTGTTGAAATGTATCTCCCAAGGATAAGGATACTGGTGTACTTTGATCATTTTTAAAATTCTGTTGACAGTTTCTAGATTACTTGTAACTTCCTGGATTCTAGAACTAAGCAGAACTTGCATTCTTTGATATATTACCCCACCTGTCAAGGTAACTTCCTAAGATGGCACATTTAACTAACACATTGTAAGTACTTAAAATGCTTAAGTTATTAAGCGGAGACTTGATCCCTACTATCTCTAGCAAGATTAACTCTCACTTAAGAAGACCTCTTGGGAATATTGTCTCCTTGAATTCTTCGTACGTTTGTACATACTAACAGTTACTGTAGAAGCATAGTTGCAATGTATTTGCTTTTAGTGCTATCCCTGTGAAGGCTGATCGTGTGGGCATCCAGTCCCTTTTGGATTTCCTTTGAGTCTGTGTTCACAGCTGACACTCTCACATCAATCCATACGCTCATAGCATTCCATTCCATGTTACCAAGAAACCTCAAAGAAAAGATACAAAAAAGGTTTGCTAAAGAGATCCTATATACATACATATATATATAATATTTTATTTTAAAATGTCATTGAGCATATACATTTCTTTAGCTTTCCCAGGGGACATTGCACCTCAGTTTCAAAACACACAAAATAGATCCCCTTTACTAAACAGTTTTCCTTTTTGGGTTACAAAAGTCAATGTTTCACAATCACAGAGCATAAAGGTACATGGTTCTGAAACCATTCCCAGGCTGATTCCTCTCATTCACTATATGCAGGATCGTTTTGGAAACCCAGACCATGGTACATTCCTTACAACAAATGATCTCCACTATGAGCCTCCCTGGGTCTCCAGAAGAAACAGGGAAGATTGGAAACAAAACAGGAATAAAAGAATAACCTTAGGACTCCCTAAACAAACATAAAATATTCATGGGAGGTCAGAAAAATGGAGGACGCAAGGTTCTCTTTCTTCAAGTACATCACAGTAGAAAACAATAGCACAATTACAGCCTTTATAGGTCACCTGACTACCTGGTTGCTACATGAACAAAACTTACATCTTAGACATAGAGGAAAAATTAAAGCTATTTACACAGATAACATTATGGATTAGAAAGAGCAGTACTCCACAGACTGGTGCTCAAACTGACAAAGAGTCTTGGAGTTTACAGAAGAGGCAATCAGGCTGCTCCCTTAGTGTCCTTTGAAAATCCCAGTGTACATGCATATGCCACACCACCCACATAAAAGCAATGTTTGCTCAGAGAGGTGGGCTGCGGTGTGTAGGCTGCAACCTTTCTCTGAATTGGAAGTCCTCAAACATCAGTTGCTAACATATAGTTCTATCCTGGAGCCAGAGACCATTTACTACTTTCTCCGTTCTGGCAACTTGTAGGTCAGCCTTGTTCATAATTCTCAATGCTTTTTGCCAGCTGTCCCAGAAGCACTAACTTTCTGAAAATAGAATTTCATCAAAGCTTAACATACTGTGAAAACATTGGAGCTGATAGATTACTTAAGGAAAGGTCAGATCCTCAAACCTGTGGAAAGAAAACGATTGACTACTTGCGGTGCTGGAAATAAAGCTGATCAATGGATAAGGGAGGGTTTTTTTGTTTGTTTTTTAAATTAAGAAAAGAGCAGTATTTTAAAGATATAGGAGATTTTTCCCCCCAAGTGTCTCTATACTAGTGCTCTTGGTAGACTGCCTACTCTGCCTGAATGGCTAAGAGCTGAGGCTAAATTTGACTAGGAATCTCATTCTTACCATTATATCATGACAGTGATAATAACTCTTTTCAAGAATGATGAATACTTACAGAAGTAAGAAGGTGGGCACAGATGACTTCACAAAGCCTCATGGAGGTAAGGAAAATTCCTAAGAATTAAACAAGACTCCAAAACCTCCAAAGCTGAACACTGGGGAAAATAACTAACTGAAATCTGTACTTTTTAGGCTTTGTCAGTTGAGTACTTAGCCTAGCCTGATTTTTCACCTTTCTTCCCCCCTGAAGAACAGCAGGTAGGTATGCACAGCCTCAGCAGAGCACCTCTTCTCTGAGGGCAGACACTGTCCGTCTGTAACACTGACTTTAGGTGCTAGAATAACAAAGCTTTGGTGGTTGTCTAGCAAAACACTGTAGAGGGCAGATGGGCTGTGAACTCCCTCTTTAAGGAAGAGTTACCAAAGAGTTTGAAGAGCAGGGGCCAGGCCAGCAAGATTTAGGAGTGAGAGAGCCTTTCATTAAAAGAAATGGCCAACGCCCCCTCCTCTAAGACAACCATAAAAACTTGACTAGGAAATTAAAGGCCTTTTATTAAAGAAGGCTTTCTCTGAGGCTATCAGGGCAAGTGGATTTGGCTGTAAGTCAAGTACACAGATTTCAGAACCACATATAAAAGTGTTCTGCGTCCGTTTGAGTGTATTGTCTTTGGACTTTCCCAGGAATGCTCCAAGGGCTGACCCATTATGGGGACATGATTACTGTTCTGGGTTGGGATGACTTGGGTGAAAAAGAAGGCCCAGTTCTAGGCTCCATTTACAGAGTAATAGCAGTGCTGGGGAGATCTGCCATGGCAGTGACAAACACTCCTCCCACCCCAGCTTTTGATTTATCCATCTCATTTGCAGTCTTCTTCCCAGCTCCCAAACATCAACCATGCTCCAGCTTGCTACTAAAATCTTTTCACCCAAGGAGGCTTATGCAAAAAACTCACGGACACCTTTCTTACTAACACCAGCAGGACCAAATGCTCAGGACTGAAGGATAATCTGAATCTGGGGTTTCCAGGGTTTTTCCTGAGATGCCTTGGCAGTAACTGCACTGGTGAATTCAGAAGGTGGTTATTACACCTCTGAGTATATGATATCTACACCCAAATTCTGACTCCAGTAACTTGAGTAGAACTAAAGAAACTCGAGGGAGGTCCAGAAAAGCAAAGGGATGAAAGGCAATAAGGCGGCAACTCAGGGTCCTCTATGGAAGACTCTCTCTTAGGTTTCCAATGTGCTTGTGAGAGGGGGAACAGAAAATGGACCACACCGCTGTACGATGGCTGCTGTTTCCCTACAGCATCATATCCACCAGGGAAGCAAGTGGTTTACTATAAACTTCTCCCCACAGAGATGTTCAGAAACGTCTAAGACTGATCAAAGGAGGCAGGGATGCTGGCAGATGAAGATGCCTCCTGGCAAAGTCAGAGTCCGGTGCTTCCCAGACAGCATTTTGGCAGACACATGGTGGGGTGAATTCCTACGAGACTTCACCTGCCATACGGGGCGGTGCTCCCAGACTGTGGAGCAAATTCATTCCCTAGCAGGAAGCCCTAGGCCTCTCCTGAGACAACAGCCACAGCTCTAGGAATGTACTCCACCCCGGAGGAAGAGTTTCTTTCTTCTCCAGCAGGAATCCAAAAAAACGTGAGAATAGGAATTGACTCCTCACCATTTTGGGGGATCACACCAATGACTTTATAAATACTGGGTTGGAAGAGTATTCTAATTCCATGAAGTTGTCAAAGTGGTGACAATACCCTAGTAGCTACAGAAAGACGACTAGGTAATTAGGTGTTATTCTGCAAACTCCCCCAGTGCAGTGCTGCCACTGCCCCAGTGAGAATATTGTAAGTAGATCCATGGTGGGAGTAGGAGTCTTGGTTCTTGGGTAGTTAGGATACAAGTCTCTGGGAGAAAATAGGAGCACAGCATGAGAACAGCCAGTGAACCCAAGGCAAATTCATGTTTATTAAAGTAGCATCCTGAGAGGCCCTTACACGAAGACGATGGAGAGAGCAGAGCTGCTGCTCCACCCAGGACTCTGATACTTGGCTTCCGGTCACGGCCCATGGAACGGGAGTCCAAACTGGCCCTCACGTGAGGTAAGGTAAACCCACAGACACAAGGAACTTCTGAACTGCTCTTGCTCTATGAAACGAGGCCATGTGTTTGTCCCCACAACACAGTGGGTGGGAGAGGGCCAACCACTGTAGACATGAACATCCAAGACTTTCACAGAAAAAACTCAGGCCATACCAGGGGACGGCTGATGACAACAGAGGGTGCTGGTCCAAAGAAACAGTTTCCTTGAAACACAGTAATGTGGTGAGAAACAACTGAGGCCCCAGTGCCACATAACAAAGACATACTTGGTCATGCAGTGCTGCTCCAGACAGCTGCCTGGGTGTCATAGGCACGGGGATGTGGGGACAACCCAGCTTGGATTGGAGTTTGACACAGAAATTCCTCAGCAAAGACTCGGAAAGCCCCAGTTCTGCTCCATGGAAAGGAAAAGAGAGATTCAAGGAATGTCAAAAAAGAATAAAACTCCCTACCTCACCCCACCATCACCACAAAGGAAGAGAGAAAGACGACGGGTGGGTGGGGCAGGCAGCAATCCCTGAAATAAATCTCAGGCTTATTAGGTGGGTGCTGACCGCTTTCCAAGGCATGACCCCTGCCCACCTACTTTTCTCATGCAGCACTTTAACCCGTAGAGAAGTTGGCAGCCGGACAGGCCAAGGAACCTCCTGCCAGTTACACCTGAAAATGGCTATTCCGGTTACTCTAAACAAAATAAATAGGATGCATATACCCCAAATAGGCCATGGCCACACTGGAGGCCTATAAAGAAACCAACAGAAATACAACTCTTAGGAACACCTCTGTGTTTTGCTGCTGAGTATCCAGACCGGTTGCTAAAGAAGAAGTGGAAACCTAAGGGTCATCGTGAAGCACAGCCAGAGGCCTTTTGGCAGCAAACTCCCCACCTGGGCTGGGGAGAGACTGCATTGCTTGAAACTCAGCCAGAGCTCAACCCAGTTCCACCCTGCCAAGAGCCATCCCAGATTCCATTCCCTCTGTCCTCCCAATCCCCTGGGCTTTTCATGACAGCTTGTTTCCATGTATTAAAGGGATGACGTATACAGAAATGTCGTCTCCTGAACCCAGTCGGTCATTAGATATTCGCCATCCTCTGTCTTTCAGGACACCTCGGGCACGCATCACCAGGTCCTGAGCTGCCAGTGTGTACCTGTGCAGGGAGAGGCAGGAAAAAGACAGTTAGTACAGCATCAGGGGAAGCCAAGGTCAGGTGAGGCTGGGAAAGAGGAGGTGTCACTATAGTTGCATAAACAGTTTTTGAATATCTTCTAAGTTGAAAAAAGCTGAGGTCATCTTTCCCAAAATATGAGATTTTTAGGTGGTAATTGGATAAGGTACTAACCACCTAATTTTTAGTTATTCCACAGTTCAGTTCTCTTAATGTTTGGTTTTAAAATTATTTTTAATTTATTTTTGAGAGGCAGAGAGAGGGTTCCCCTTCAGTGATTCACTCCTTGAATTCCCTCAATGGTTGGGGTTGGGAGTACTGAATCTAGTCCTTCCACAAGTAAACAAAATAAATCTTTTTAAGAAGTGAGTTGGTTTAAAAAATATTGGTAATAGTACACATGGCATAGGAACAGAATGTAAAATTTGAGGATGACTAAGAAACCTGTGGGTATGTGAGCTGTTCCACTTGTCCTTACCAATGCCACTGTCCCCTCTAGTCCAATGCAAGTAGAGAAAACATCTGAAAATAAGATTGCTCACTAAGGTTTAAACCATAAGGAAAAAGAATGACACTATCTGAGCTAGTAGAAAGAACCTGGGAGAAAATTTGGGTGGGTGTGGGCTTGGGTTAGCCTTGAGGCATAAAAAATGAGACAAAACATTGGCAGGTGTCTATCCAAATACTGATGGAGCACAGAGACTCTTAACTAATAGACTTAGAAGTTTAGTTCCACTGGCAGGGCCATAATTGTGGTGGGAAGGGTTATTCCTAGCCTACACCAATAGACACGATTCACCTTCATTCTGATTCCATGTTCGCCAAATACCCTTCTGACGACCATCTGCCTCCTGTTCCGGCCTCTCTACAGGAGAAGAGTGAGCTGGTGCCTGGTGCTTTAAGTACAGGAGTCAGGGATATTTCTCCAGATAAACATCACCTGGTATTTTGGTTTACAGATTAATATAGGGAGCCGCATGAAAGTGAGATAATCCATTGCCAATTCTAATAATGAATATGCTCAGACTCTGGTAAATCACCAAGATAATGAATGTGACCCCACAAAGCTCTCTTGGAAGCCAGTCTGTGAGCCTTTTACAGGGGACACCCTGGTATTCCTGCTGACCTTTCCCACTGGGAGCATCTCATCTTTGTCTTCCAAATGGTGAGTTAGGGAGTTCAGAACTCCTGAAGCCACTCTAGCTCTTCTGCTAAAATCCCTTGGGAATTTGCAAGCCCTCATATTAAAAGATACCCTGGGTATCCTTGCTGTTACATTATTTAAGAAAAAGGGCTCCAGACAATGACCTCAGGACTGTAAAGATTCCAAGATCGAGAATCAAGTTTGGCTGGTGCCACAGCTCACTAGGCTAATCCTCCACCTGTGGCACCAGCACCCCAGGTTCTAGTCCCAGCCGGGGCACCGGATTCTGTCCTGGTTGCTCCTCTTCCAGTCCAGCTCTCTGCTGTGGCCCGGGAGAGCAGTGGAGGATGGCCCAAGTGCTTGGGCCATGTACCCACTTGGGAGACCAGAAGCACCTGGCTCCTGGCTTTGGATCGGCGCACTGCGCCGGCCACAACACACCAGCCGTGGTGGCCACTTGGGGGGTGAACCAACGGAAAAAGGACGACCTTTCTCTCTGTCTCTCTCTCTCACTATGTAACTCTGCCTGTAAAAAAAAAAAAAAGAGAGAGAGAGAGAGAATCAGGTTAACTACTGCCACCCGGGTAGCAGACAGAAGTAGAATACAAACCATAGGTGGCAGAAGAGATGACAGCATAGTTAATAAAAGTAAGGACCTTTCCCTCTGGGGATGGGGGTAGGTGAGTAGGAAAGACACCTTTTTCTGTCTAATAAAAGAATTACTGGGTGGTGGACATCTAGTTTGGAGGTTAAGATGCTCACATCCAAGGCCGGCACTGTGGCATAGCAGGTAAAGCCACTGCCTATGGTGCCAGCATTACACATGGGCACTAGCTTGAGTTCTGGCTGTTCCACTTCTGATCCAGCTCATTGCTAATGTGCCTGGCAAAGCAGTGGAAGATGGCCTAAGTGTTTGGGATCCTGCACCCATATGGGAGACCCAGAGGAAGCTCCTAGCTTCAGATAGGGCCAGCTCTGGCCATTATGGCCATCAGAGGAGTGAACCAGCAGATGGAAGATCTCTGTCTAGCCCTCTCTGTAACTCTACCTTTCAAATAAATACATTTTTAAAAAAGAATGCTCACATCCCACACTAGAATACCTGGATTCAACACCCAATTCCTGCTCCTGACTGCAGCTCTCTGCTAATGCAGACCTTGTGGGGCAGTTAATTAGGCTTCTGCCACCCACATGGGAAACCTGGATTGAGTTTCCCAGCTCCCTGCTTCAGTCCCAGTTACGGGCATGCGGGAAGTGAAACAGCAGATGGGAGCTTTGTCTCATAAATAAATAAGAAATAATTACTGGGCTTTGAGGCACAAATCTAAGTTACATTTGAGGGAAGGTACAACCAGTTAGTCCTCTCTGAAGCTTCTCGTTCATCTGAGATCAAGATAGAGAAAAAGACCTCCAAAGAGACATTTGGCTGTGTTCTAAGGAAGGAAACACAGGAGGGTTCAAGAAATACCAGAAAAGAAAAAAATCCCTGCCTTACCCCATCATCATCATAAAGAAAGAAAGAAAAACTCAAATCACGTTGCAAAATCCACACACTCCTCTCATACTGCATTCAGAAGAGCTTCTTGTTAGTTATCCAAGGTTACTCCCAATCTCATGTTGAACTGTGTGTCTGAGGTAGAACCATGCAGAAAAAGGTTATCAGCAATATCAGACTGATGTGTTCTCTGCTTGGCCAGTCTGTGGACCTTAGCTTTCCAGGTACAGAATCCTGGTGGACTCAACTGATTCATCCAGCAGGAATGAACACACTTGAACTCTGCTTATGAGAAGACTAAATGCAGAAAGTAAGAACAAGCTAGGAGAAAACAGGGCTGATGATAAAAGAAGATGTCAACACACAACAAACAGCTCCCTGTGGCTTTTTAGTTTAGAGGCAATAGGCTCTACTGGTCCTGCAGTTGTAGGGACTGACAGATACCAGCTCTGGGTCCGGATTGCAGTTCCTCACTACTAGAGACCTTGTGAGATGGCAGTGATGGTTCAAGTAATTGAGCCCTTGCCATCGGTGTGGGGGACGTGGATTGAGTTCTCAGTTCCTAAGAACCTGTGAACACAGCATAGCCTTGGCTGTTGCATGCAGCCACCTGGGGGAGTAAAGCAGTAGACAAGCTCTGTCTCTGCCAAAAAAAAAAAAAAAAAAACAACAACACCACTATAATAAAAGGTTAAATGACATCTAAGTGGTTTTACTGAAGTCATGAAAGAGCGTCTTCCACAGTTATAGGCAAGAGACTACTCTGCCATGGCTACTGTGGTGACTCTGGGTATTTTTAAGGTGATCAGAATTAGCTTTGGCATTTTAAAAAGCGAGCATTAGGTCACCTAGAAAAGATGATAACCCCGGAAACTCATTTCCCTCAGGGCTCCAGATCATTAAAGTTTTATTCTGAAATATGGTTGTCTTTCATTCCAAGAGAACTTCCTTTGAGATTGCTTCTGTCTTCATCATCCATTCTATCTTCCCTTAGGTGCTAAACTTCTCTGGAGAGATGGACTCGGCTTTCTCAGTTTCTCACTTCCCATTCTCTTAATTTTTTTTACTTTTTTTTTTTTTTTTTGACAGGCAGAGTGGACAGTGAGAGAGAGAGACAGAGAGAAAGGTCTTCCTTTGCCGTTGGTTCACCCTCCAATGGCTGCCGCAGCCGGCATGCTGCGGCCAGCGCACCGCGCTGATCCGATGGCAGGAGCCAGGTACTTCTCCTGGTCTCCCATGGGGTGCAGGGCCTAAGTACGTGGGCCATCCTCCACTGCCCTCCCTGGCCACAGCAAAGAGCTGGCCTGGAAGAGGGGCAACCGGGACTAGAACCTGGTGTGCCGGCGCCGCAAGGCGGAGGATTAGCCTGGTGAGCCGCGGCGCCGGCCATCTGTTCTCTAAAAGCTGGCCTCAGAGCCAGCTTCCCAATATTCATTCTGCTCAGTCTTTTTCTACTACAGACATTTCTGACCATTTTCTCTTTCTCTATGAATTCACCTGTTTTTGGCCTCAAGTTCTCATCCTGCATCCGAGTTTCCATGGCAAAGGGCACAAGGTCTCTCTGGTGCTCACTCTTAGTCTCCTTTAGAGACTCCAATTACGACGTGGGAAAAACTCAATAACTGTTCTACTATTTTCACTTCCAAGGTGGGACATCCCCATCTATCTTAATAACACAGTAGTCTCTGAATCAAGAGATCACAGTCCTTTTTCAATGCTACTTTCTCACCCCAATATTATTGAATTATAAAATCCATAAGGCAGAGTAGGACTTCAAAATTTTGCGTTGTCTTTCAGTAGTGACACATGGCTAATTAAAATCTAATGTTATGTCTATTATGTAACTTATTTTTGTTTATTGTAAAAACTGATAAATCTGAACTTTTGCTATCTTAAATACATGAAAGTACTCACACATACAAAAATTTATGTCTTCTATTTTTTATTATATTTCTGTCCTCATTCTTGCTTTGCTAGATTGATAGCTTTATTTTTAAATTTTTATTGAAAAAGTTTATTTATTATTTGAGAGGGAGACAGAGCTCTTCCATTTGCTGGTTCACTCCATAAATGCCAACAGTTGGGGCTGGGCCAGGCTAAAGCCAGCAGCCTAAAATTTTAATTTTAAAAACTTAGTTATTTGAAAGGCAGAGTGACCAACAGAGAGGGACAGACAGACATCAATCTTCCATTTGCTGGTTCATTCCCCCCAAGTAGCCACAATGGTAAGAGCAGGGCTGTCTAAGACTGAAGCTAGGAGCCAGGAATCTCAACCAGGTCCCCGACATGGGTGGCAGGGACCAAAGTAATTGAGCCATCTTCTGCCGCCTTCCAGGCACATTAGCAGAAAGCTGGACCAGAAGTGAAGCAGTTGGAGCCAGTGCTGTGATGTAGCAGGTTAAGCTGCTCCCTTCAATGCCAGCATTTCATATGGGCAGTGGTTCTAGTCCCAGCTGCTCCTCATCTGATCCAGCTCCCTGCTAATACACCTAGGAAAGCAGTAGGAGATGGCCCTAGAAACCTAGAAATTCTTGGCTCCTGGCCCAGCTCTGGCCATTGCAGCCATCTGGGGAGTGAACCAGCAGATGGAAGCTATCTCGCTCTCTCGCTCTCTCTCCTTCTCCTCTCTCTGTAACTGGCTTTCAAATGAATAAATACATAAATCTTTTTTTACAAAAATGGAGCATCTGGGACTTGAACAGGCACTCAGATATGAGAAGTGGGCTTTGCCAGGAGGCATAACCCACTGCAACACAACACCAGCTCCAGGAGCTTGGAATTCTATACAGGTCTTCCATATGAGTGACAGACCAAGTACTTAAGCCACTGTCTGCTGTGTGCCAGGCTGCAGCAGAGGCAGGACTGATATGAGACATGGGCTTCCAAAGCAGTGGCTTAAGACTGCTGCGCCACACTACCCACTCCTTACCTTATTCTTAAGCTCCCATTAGTCACTATTATCATATAAAATCTATACTTCTAGAAATAATAAACCTCTGAACATACTTGCAAAGATTTTATCTTTTGTTTTTGCCTTTTTTGTCCATTCCTTCCTTTGGGAATTAATTTCTTTCTCCTGAAGTATATTTTTACCATCTTTTAAAACAGCAGTCTGTGAAGGATAAAGTCACCTAGTCTTTGCACTGCTAAAATCTTTATTTTTGCCTTTAATCTTGGATGACAGTGTTATTGGGTTAGGATTCTAGATTGTTATTTCCCTTAGCAATTTGGAGGTATTATTCCACTTATTCCTGGTTTCCACTTATAAGTGGATGTCTGTTCTCATTAGATTTTAAAATTTTTGTTATTTTGTTGGTGGTGGTATGAAGTTTCATTAAGACATAACAGTGAGAATTCCTTTTTATTTACAATGGTTAAAAATTCATTCTACTCCTTCAAACATAGAAAATGCCTAATTCTAGAAAACTGTCAGCCATGAACTTTTTGAATATTGCCTCTACTCTGCTTTTTATATATTCTTCATAAACTCTTATTAGATCTTCTCATTTTACCTTCCAGAATTCATTTTTCTATGCTATCTTTCAATCATGAGTCCTTCTTTGGCAGTTTTACCATTCAGCCCATTCAGTGAACTACTTTATTTCAGTGACAATATTTCACCCTTGGGAATTCCTATTTGATTCTCGTCCAGATTCACTACTTCTTACCTTATGATTCTATCTGCACAGGTTTAACTCTTCCCTCACCCTGCTGTATCGCATCCTGGCTTTAAGGTGTGGGAGGGATAATGCCATTGGATCCAGCGATCCTTTCTCATGGTGAGTTTGCAGGTAAGATGTCAGTTTCTCTTGAGATGGGGTTTCTTACTAGGTACTGAGTTATCTATACAATTTGCCTCTACTGGGAGGATACCATATATTTTTCTAAAACTCAGATTTGTGTGGGTTTTTTGGCTTACAGTCCCCACACCCCAGGCGCAGGGTGTGGTTGACTGTCACACTTGTTCTGTGTGGTGGGCCTACCCAGCTGTTCACTTCTGCTGACAGAGCCTGCAGCCACACACTACCCCTGTGCATGAAGGCAGGACAGCCCGTGCCGAGGAACGCACTCAGGGAGAGTCCCTGGACCCCTTCTTCCTGTGCTGCTCCTGGAGCTCAGATGCCTCACATGACTTCTCTTTCCAGGCCCCACTGCTGTGAGCAACACCCTTCCCTGTCCAGAGCAGTCGAACAGACAACCAAGGGAGCTGACTGGACAGCACCCTTGGTAAGCAAGTACTGCAGCCGAACCCTAGGAGCAGCTCCTGGACATACCCCTCGCGCTGTAGCGGATCCAGCACTGGGAGGAAGGTCAGCAACAGCTCAGGTCAGTTCAGTTCCTCCTGAGTGGAGCAACTCAACACAACCCCAGGAAGGCAGCTCTTCGGGGAGAAGACTTTTTGCTCCAGCTCCACAGTGGGCCAGGCTGCTGGTCACTGTGCAGCTCATCAGCATCCACAGTTGAGAGTCACTTTGCCCCAGACATGGCATCATCTGCAAGGCTGCTTTACATCAAGACAGGTGCAAAAAGCAACAGCTCTCTCTGAGGGAAAGATCTGTATCTCATTCCCATTGTGTTCTCCAATGTGTGCCTTACAGGGACTTCCTGGGTGGGTGACAATAAAAGAAAGCATTTAAGGTGGCAGTCAAAAAGCAGGGGGTGAACTGGAGCTGTGGCTTAATGGATAAAGCCACTGCCTGCAGTGCTGGTTCATGTCCCAGCTGCTCCACTTCTGATCCAGCTCTCTGCTATGGCCTAGGAAAGCAGTAGAAGATGGCCCAAGTCCTTGGACCCCTGCACCCACGTGGGAGACCCAGCCCAGCTCCTGGCTTTGGATTGGCACGGCCAATTTGGGAGTGAAACAGCGATGGAAGACCTCTCTCTCTGCCTCTTCCTCTCCTCTCTCTGTGTAACTCCAGCTTTAAAATAAATAAATATATCTTGAAAAAGGAAAATCAGGGGGTCTTCTGTCATGTATGCCACATGTATGCCACAGACTGAGGGGTGGGGGGAGTGGTAGAGCAAAACACGAAATATACTGGAGAGCATGGAAGAATGGGGTGCAGATGCAGACATGGATGGGAGGTGGACTCTCATTCACCACCTAGGGAGATGCGGAAGGCTGGAAGCTGGATGCGGCATGAGGTAGGACCCTTACCAAACGCCTTCTTCACGGATGCTCTGTTAGGCTGCAGAAGGTGTTCCGCCCTCAACCCCCACCCCCTGCCCAGGAGACAGCTTCTGCATCTGGAGAATGTTTTTCTTCTCTAGCTAAAGCTTTCAGTATTGATCAGCAAAGCTCTGCTGGGAGAAATGGCTGCTGGAGAGGGACTGGACTTGGCAAACTTCACAGGGCTTGGGCTCCAGAGAAAGGACAGCGGGGGCGGAGGGGAAAGCCACAAAGAAGAGGGGCTGGAGAACGAGGGGAGGGCCAAAAGCTCTTTTCACAGCTACCGACTCTGAACTCAGAGCAGAAGGGGGGCAATAAATCCTCAGCTGTTGCTCGCATCCTGGCCCCTTCTGCCACAGTTCTCCGTTCTTTCAGTGGAGCAAGAAGAGGGCTCAGGGTGGGGCATGGACTGTCTGGGTCCCTACTCTGGCTCTCCCCCTGCCCAGAAGGCTGGCTCTGGGAAAATTCCTTAGCTTCTTGGAGTCCCTCTTTTCTGACTTATAAATCTCAAATAGTAATAATATAGACCTTGACATCTCCTGCAGGGACTAAATAAAATCCTTCCTTTCATTGCTTTACTTTAAAATTTTTAACTGATACCAGGGTAAACATATCTATCTCTTCAAACATTTGTTATTCTGATGAAAAAGAACATTCAAAATCCTCTCCTATATCTTTTACAAAATTGTACAGGGAACAGGCATTTGGTGGAGTGGTCAAGATGCTGCTTGGGAAACACACATCCCATGTCGAAGTGCTCGGGTTTGGGTCCTGGCTCTGCTCCTGACTCCAGCTTCCTGCTCACGTGCATCCTGGGATGCAGCAGGTGATGGCTCAAGTCACTGGGTCTCTGCCACCATGTGGGGAGCTGGATTGAGTTCCCTACTCCTGACTTCAGCCTGGCCTGGCCCTGGCTGTTGAGGGTATTTGGAGAGTCAATCAGTGGAAAGATCTCTATATGTCTGTCTTTCAAATAAATAAATACAATGCAGTCCATTATTGTTATCTATCGTCACCCTGCTGTGCAACAGAACACCCAAATGGCTTACTCCTATCTAACTATAACTTAGTACCTAAGAGTCAACCAACTTTCTCTCTCCCTAATCTCCGTAGCTTCTGGTAACCATCATTCTACTCTCAACTTCCTTGAGATAAATGAGATCTTTCTCTAAAGCATTCAATACAGTGCAGCCGCATGTCAGAGGTCAATAAGTATGAGCTACATCTTTCTCACTGGACATAAAATGCCTTTCTCTTCCCCAAGAGCTTTGGCCTAGAGTCATCTGCCCAGGGCACAGGACCTCAGAAGATTCAGCACTGCAGTGTCACAAGGAAAAAGTCAGTTCCAGACTGCGGCTGTCACCTGGCTTACAGTCCCCGATGGCTGCGGTTGGGTGGGAACTTCTATTTGCCATTTGGATGGCACAGACAGGGTCGTGTAGGAGGGGAGGGTACATGGCAGGACCTGGGGAATTAATGGCTTCCAAATATTTGCATATAAAAGGCAGCCTCCATCTGCTGATAGCCCGCAGTAATCCAGTGTGCTGGGAACAGGAGGAGGAATTCTGTTTGTATTCTAAGCAGGATTCAGTGATTTAAGAGGTAGAAAAGCTCCCCTCAGCTTTGGAACACTGGCAGGGATCTACGGCCACTGGGTGGGTGGGGGATGGGGTGGCTTGGAGGGGGCCTTTGTTGTGCTCTGAAAGGGGCAACTTGCCTGCCCCAGAGGAGGCACAGTCCAGGCTCACTGCTGGGGGCTGGGCCACATGCATCCCTTGAGCAGCTCGGAACCAGGCTCTGAAGCCAGTGAAGCTGCTCACACCAGCTTCTGCCCCAGCTTAGAGTGCAGGGACTCCACTTGGGCAGAGAATCCCGAGACAACGAAACAGGGACAGCTGGTGTCTGAGACACTGGGTTCAATAGGAGTTTGCATGCTGGAAGGTTCAAGGCCACAGACCAGAGGGACTCCTATCCCCAGAGGGAGGATGAGACGCCTCTCTAGACCTCTTCCAACTCTACCCTGGCACCGACTCCCTGGTTTCTTAGGTGGTAGGTATTTATTTCAGTCTCAATCCCGAACAACAACATTTAAAAGGGAGGGGGCATAACAGACCATTTCCTTCTCAATCCTCCTTGGCAAGCTCTTTAAAATGTCCTGATGTGGCCACACAGCTCTGCTCCAACACAGCCGCATAAATAGCACAGAGGACAGAAAGGCGGGCCTGGCTGTATGCTGTCTCAGAGCCTGCTGCAGCCAGGATCTCCGGCTGACTTCCAAATTCCCACGGATCTGAATATGCTAAACAGTGCAAGGCAACAAAAATGCAGATTTTTATCTAGTCTTCAAACACTCACGAATTTGTTCTTAAAAAACCTGTAATTGATACAGTCGGGCTGGGGGTAGGGGGTGGGGGTGGGAAGAACCCTTACTTTTTGTATTTGAGGCATAGTTTTTGAAAACCATATGGTCCTGTTTGAAATCAGTTCCCAGAACTCATGGAAAGATTTCATAAAAAGAACCTTTGTTTTTTGCCAAAATAAATTGCCTATTATCAGAGCAATACAAACCAGCACTTAATACCTGCATGAAATGCCTGCCGTCCACGGGGTGGGTGTTATGTTCTTTACCTTGCCCTGATTAATCTCTTCCTTCTCAAGGAACCCAGCTGCCTGAGCCACAGAGAATGCGGATGTGAAGAACAACCAAAGTGTGAGCTTTAAGAAGGTGGCTCTCCTTAGAGACAAAGCCTGCGGGGACTATGGCAACCTTACACTCACAGACTTGACGCTCTACAGCAAGTCCTTGAGTGTCACGGCGCGGGCACAGAGGGCCATTAGGTAAAAGGTACAGAAACAGATTTCCACAGATGTGTTCTGAAAAATGGACTGGGGCACAGCCTGGCTCAGTTCTGCCTGGGCATTTGGAATGTGAATCCATGCCAAGTTTTCATGTTTGGTTAACTATTTCCTGGTCCCAGTTCCTCTTGACTTTTTCTATCCCCTTGCCCGTTAGTGATATTAACAATTTATTCCTTTCCGACAAAATATTAAGTCTCCTCTTTGACTGTTTCATAGTACTTCAATTTTCTGCATTTCTGCCAGGAGACCCAAGCCCAGCCCAAACCCTGAGTTGTACAGAAGGGATAATCGACTGCAGAGATTCTGCCCCAGAAAACCCCTTCCTGCTCTACACTGTGCAGGAGCTTTAGGATCCCAAAGAGCATCTGCATGGACTCAGAGGGGACCAGGAACTCCGCAGCCCAAGCTCAGGGAGCTCAGCACCCCCACTCCAGAAGGTTAGCTGTGTTTCCTATGAACGGTTCATTTCATGACCCCACAACAGTCACAGACCGCCAGCTCTGCTGCACTTCAGGGCAAACTCAATTAAAAAAAAAAAAAAAAAAGAAAGAAAGAAAAAATCCTCCTGTACTCATGTGCTAGCTCATCCACAAAGCTGCCTTTTAATTTTCGGGTTCCTTTGTTGGGGCAGTTCAGAACAGCAAAGGGACTCCACAAGATACAGTGGGGTCAGGAGGACCCCGCAGCTCACTCCTGCCCCACGTCTGTCTGGGAGGACGGCATGGGGTCAGCGCTGGGCAGCATCCCTCTGCTAACCACCTCTTCCCTCGGAAGCATCTCAGGGGGGAGATGCCAGGTCCTCCGAGGTGTGCAATGCTGCCAGCTGCTTGAGAATGGCTGTCCCTGGGAGGCCCGAGAAAGATGATAAGAACCACACACAGCGCAAACAAAGCCCAACAATCAAACCAGGAAGCCCTTAAGTCTCACTCTCACAGTGCCTTTTTCTGTCCTACTTTCTCGCTGGACAAAACGGGAAACCTCATAAAACTCATGGTAAAAAAGGCCCACGAATACCTTCAGATGTGAAAACTTGTTGTTCCTCTAATTTTGTTCCTCCAGTCCTCAGGCTGGAGAAGGCATCTTTCCTTTCTCGTGTTTTAACAAAATTTATGTTTTATTTGAAAGGCAGAGGGATGATGGAGAGATCCTCCATCAGCTGGATTGCTCCTTAAATGCCTGTGACCGCCAGGGCTGAGCCAGACCAAAGCCAGGAGCCTGAAACTTCATCTGGGTCTCCCATATGGGTAGCAGGGACTATTTGAGCCATCAGCTGTTGCCACCCAGGGTGTGCGTTAGCTGGAAGCTGCTTTGGAGGACAAGTCTTGAGCCAGGCACTCCCACATGGGTTGTGGGCATCCCAAGTAGCTCAAACAAGTGCCAAACACTCAACCGTCCTTTCTCATTTTCAGTCAAACAACTGGCTGCCTCCTTTGGTAGCACCCCTCAGGCTTGGACCTATAACCCTCCACTCCCCCACGCCCTTGATGCCCAAAGTGAAACTGTGGTTGGTAGCTACATTTGAAAATAAACCTTGATGCCTCTGTTCTGTCTTAAGATCTCAAAAAACCAACAGGGTTTTTCTGATCTTCAGCCTGTCTATGTCTTACCAGTGAACTGTGTCTCTTGTAACTTTTCCCTTCTCTCCTTCATCTATCAGACACAGGATTCTTTCTCAGGCTTTGGTTTGCCATCGTCCCTGCAAGGCAAACTGGAAAATATTTTTCAGCCCTGCCCTGTCTGTTCCAAGGGGAGCCCTGTAAATCCCGATTGCACGGGCAACGATTCTCATGAGCTCCAGTATCCTGCTCTGACCTGGCACTTGCGTGCGGCCCACGGGTTACCACTCCTCTGCAGGCAGATTTGTTGCCATGGAGAGAGAGGGGCTGGGAAGCAAGACCAGGCCAGCTTGGAGGGATCTAAAAAAAAGTGTTGGGTGCTTTTTAACTCGTAACTGGCAGCTGGCTTTGCAAAGCTTTATAAAAATAGTCACAGTAAA